CCAGGAGCAGTCAGCGGGACAGCTGGAGTGGGAAGTCTGAGAAGTGAATCAGAAGGTCTTTATAATGCAAAACTTTTTTGCCAGCAGGAAAGGAAGGTGCCACTTTTAGTCCTCAATTATGTTAGCTTTGTCGAAATGAAAGTAGCTCCCAGGGTATAGAAATAAAACAGAATAGACAGCCAATTAAAGAAGGGAGTGGGGGAGAGAACCAGGCTGAAGAGGAGGAATGCATTTGCAGGGAACTGGGAGTTTTTCCCTCAAGAAAAGTGCGTTGAAATAAAAGAAGTTAAAAGAAGCAAGCTTGCTGTTGTGAAGCATACCAGTGTAGTGGGCTAGTAATAGAAATCATTGATTTATTCACACTAAAATAGAGCCTGAGAATTGCAGAAGGGCTCCTGTAACCTCATTGATGTTATCCTTAAATCTCAGTGATGTCTCTCCCTATGGGAGCTACTGCCTGTATTCCATGTGACTCTTGATAAAACGGAAAACTGAGTTAGAATTCTGCTTTTAAGTAGCTCTATCATCTGGTACAGAAAATACCAAGCTGTTGCATTTTTTTTGGGTCCAGAGACTGTTTGGGTCCGCTTTTCTCTGGGACATCGGTGGGAGCTTTCCTCTTGGAGTATGTTTAGAAAAGACCCTTTGGCTCCCCTGGTAGAATTCAGTGCCATTTCCAGTTGCACACTGCCCCCTGATTACAGAGTACTGATAAATAGCATGAGAGTTTATAGGTATAGATACAGTGATCTGCAGCACCTTTCTACACCAGCTGCTTCTCTGGGTGATGCTAGGTGCTGTGTAAGGATGTACCCAGGAGGGATGGCAGCATTTGGCATTAGGACACACTGCTGATTTAATCTCTGCCTTCCTCCCATTAGAATGTTGCAGTGTGTCAGACCAGAGGAAATAAGCCTTTGGGTTTCCCCCATGGGGACCCTGAGTGATCACGGTGGGAGTGAACAGAGGATGCAAGCTAGTGAACTGCTGCGCCCTGTGCTGGAAGCCGGCTCTGGGCTCCCACTCCTAGTTTTGGTGGTATCTTCTCAAGTGCCACCGATGCCCTCCATAGGCCACAGTCGGCTTTGCATGAAATGTTGCTGTCTGAGCTGGTCCTTTTAGTTGCATTTCTTCAGTGCATCTTGACGACTATTCTCTTTGTGGAGAGTATCCTGAATTCTGGTCCTATTTTGGTACCGTGACCATCAAATCAACTGGTTCCAGAGTTTCTAGTGACCCTCATGAAACTCTTTGCTTCGGGGTTTTTTAGTTTTTGCCTGCCTTTCCTTTAGCAGAAGCTAAACCCACTACCAACAGACAGTGCTTAATTCCACCATTGGCACTTTTTTTTTCCCAAAACATGTGACAGTAATTCTGGTTTGTGCACCACCATCTATCTTAAGCAGAACAAATACCCCATGCAGCTTTCTCACACATGGAGAATGATGGTAGGTTTTGGCACATAGCATCTGTTGCATTTTCCCTGGCTGCAGATCTCTATCACAGTGGGAGGCCCTGGAGCCTCCCAGGTCTCCTTGTACTTTCTGGCTGTTCTGTGACTCTGCTCTTACTTGAGGTATCAGTATCACACCAGCATGGGAAGATAAACCCTGGGATGGGTCTGGATGAAGACCTGCAAAATTCGTGGCAGAGATGGCTACTCCCCATGGGGCTTTTAGCTTTTGACCTGCAATTACTTTAATTAATAATAATTTTAAGGCATTGTTCATCATCAAAGGCTGATCAGACTTGATTTTTGTCCCATGCTGGGATCATCTGTTGGTGATGATTGCTTTCTGGTTTTTTTTTTCTGATGCAGACAGCATGAGTTGGGCTCTGCACACTTTAGAAGCCTTCAGAAAATGCTGCGTATTTGTGTTTCAGCTGTGCAATATCTTTAATTGCCAAGTGAGGTATCCCCAAATCAGTGTTCCAGTTACATGGGAAGGCAGTGACAACACCTGTCATTCCTGTGCATGGCATTTGGCTTAAAGTGGAGATTTGGTTAAATAATGCAAAATTTGGGGCTGGCAACTGTGAGAGGATCAGAGCTCCCACGATTCTAGAGATGGTCTGTGTCTTGTGCCAGAGGCAGGTCAGGATGGAGGGAGGGGTTGTGCTGAAAACCCCCCTGAATTTCTCTCCTGTGCTTGGAGATCTACAACTATTTTCTTTGGCAGTAGCAGCTGAGATACTGCCGGCAATAAAGCGAACAGCTCTGCCCCAATAAAATGCTAGAGACAGTGCATTAAACCCTACCAAGGCAGTTTTACTACTGCGTATTTCTTGGCTTTATAAATGTATATTAGAGAAGCCATTTTATACATTAATGGGATTATTTCACAAGACACAGAGAAGTAACAGAGCCCTTTTATCACTGGAGTTGTGGTAAATAGTCTTAGAACTAATTATGAATTACTGATAATAATCGGGAGTACTTTCCCAAGGGAAGCTGTTATACATGCTTATTGCGATGTCTTACTGACAAATATAGATGTGCTTTCTTGAAAAACGTGGGTTTAAGGCCATCAGCCGATGATTCCCTCAGCTGCATGGTTGTAACAGATGTGTATTTTTAAATGAAGATTTGTGAGGGTTATGCTACCCTGCAAAATGACATAACTAAAAAAAGACCCTCTGGAAGATAAAGGTGTGCATACAGGAAATACCAGCTCCTACAGGAAGAAAGGCTGCTGGCTTTGAAGGAAAAATGGATGGGAATGAACTCCCAAACTCTTCTGTGCAACCCCATGAGATGTCAGGCAATGAGGGGATAATGGTGAGAGAGTGGGACATGACTGGCAGCTAGGATATGGGAGGTCCTAGTTTTTACCTCTGGTTGAGCCTTCATCCCCCCACCCCTGTAGTTAAAAGCTCCTTAATCACAGTTCCCTCAACAAATTGGCCCTCCAAAATAGGTTAGAAATGAGCTTATAACCAACAGCCCTGACAGGGTCGAAAGAGAGAGGGTGTTGAGCAAGAGGGCACCAGCTGCTCTCTGCAATGGTCTCTTTGCCCCCAAGGACAGCGGCAATGATCTTTGCCAGCAGTGAGCACAGCAGCCTGGCCATGCAGAGTGACTTCAATGAGAAACCTTGCTGGAGTGCCTTGAGAGCATCGTGTTAACCCGCTGAATTATGGAAAAAGGAAGAAAATGCTGGGGGAGGCGGGGGTGGGGGGGTTGTTCCCCCCCCCGCCCCTACTTATTTAGTAGTGTAATAGTCACTGGAAGTTGAAATAACAGGACTGATTATTTTCTTTCTTTACAGCAGCCTGGTCTGGGTTACGGCCACTTTTGGAAGCACTTTTGGAAGCACTTTGGAATAATTTTACTTCCTGTTTGTGACGGCTCATTCAGGGAGTTGCTCTGGATTTTACCCTCTGGCAGATGGTTTGCATTCTGTCTTAGGAAAAGCATATTTCACAAAATAATTACTTTTGTAGCTCTTTGCATGTTCTCAGTTGAAAGTTCTGCCCTAAAGCCAGTGCAACATCTGTGCATGGATGTTAAGGGCTCCAGCATGCAGTTCTTGCCTGGGCATCTTGGAGGATGCAATATGCTGTAGGTTTGCATCACCAAAGGCCAAATATGACTACAAGAGAGCTCCTGAGAAATGACAACGGTTGAAAGACAGAGCGAGGTTGGAGGGGCTTTCTGCCTTTTTCCCCTTTACTGCAGACCCACTCTGCATACCCTGCAACTGATGGGCTCACAGGGAGCTTCCCACCCCTACCACCACTTGGGCAAAAACATTTTTCTCCCCAAGGCCTACAAGTGATTAATCACAGCAACAAGGTGCTGTACAAGCAGAGGTAAGGAGGCCAGAAGAGCCCATCCCCACCTCCTCTGTGCAGTCTGAGCTTTGAGCCAGTTCACCCACAGGTACACAGAGCTTAAAATGAAGCTGCTCAAGGTTTTTTTTTAATCTCTTCAGATGGGTTCAGACTGCAGATACAAAACTTCCTGCTCTCACCCCCAAGCAAGTGCCAGGAAGGTTTCTGTGGCTGCTCATCCCTAGCTCATGTCTCCTCACGTTGACACAAGGCTGCCAAACACCTGACTGTGGAAGGAAAGTGGCTTATATATTAAGGAGATCCAAAAGGTTATAAAAAGAAGAAAAATAGTAATGCAATTGCAGGCCTTCTGGCTGCTTCACAGGACATAGGATCATTAAGAAAGGTGCAAAGTAAAACAAATGTTTGTGAGAAAAAAAAGACTGAAGTCATTCTCATTTTCTTTCCTTCTCTGATCCTCTCTTATTTTCCCTCCCACCACTCCTTCCTGATTGCTCTTGAAACAGCCATAGCACCTCTTTTTTATTCAATAGAAGAGAGGCAATGACACTCCAGAGCATTCTACTGTGTTGGTGCCGTGAAACACGGTCCTGATGCCAGGAGAGCCTTTTCCTGCTCTATGTGCACAAATGCACTGGTGTCTGGGGTTATTCTGGAAGCAGCTGAATAACCTGTTAGGCCATAACTGCCTTCATTGAGCATGCAATGCAGCTGCTCTCCCAGCTATGATTGGGAGGCAGCTCCTTTTGGGCTGAGTGAACTGCATTAGGATGATTCAGCTGATTTTGGCAGAAATATTGGCTACAGCTGCCTCAGGTCCAGCTGCAAATGGTCTATCCAGCAAGCAGGAGCAATGCCACTCCTTTAAAAGCCCCATAGCCCACAACTAGGCAGATATGGCAGTTTGGCTCTTTAGTTTTTGTTTGTCTATTTGGTAGAGTGGCTGGAAGTTCGTTTTTCAAAAAATGGAGCAACTTCTTTTCTTTCCTTTTGTGCCTTACATTGGTTTACAGGGGCCTGAGCATGCCCTTCTGCTGGTCAGCCATCCTCTCTGACCAAGTCTTATGTAGAGGACACGTAGTTCAGTGTTTGAATTCATCAGGAAAGCAGCTCCGTGAGGCACAAACTGCAGTACTCAAATAAGAAAGTGCCCTGTCACAGATGTGTACTTTCTGGCAAAGGTAAGATCTTCCCATATCCTGTTCATCTCCCCTTCACGCTCCATCTGCTTCATCAAAGTCTTCCTTGTGTTTGTTTTTGTTGCAAAACAGTCAAACACAAAAGAGAAGCTATAAAGCAAAATAACTCCTTTTCTATTTCATACTATTTATTTTTCATCTTATGACAAATACAACTTTCTGTTGGCTTTTCTAGATGGAAACATCAGGCTGGTTAATTCATACAAGGTTGTTTTAAAATTTATTTTTATTATTTTTATGTAAGTGTTTAGAGGGGGATTTCTTTTTAAAATCCACCAGGAGGAAGTCTGTGAAGATTGGATGGGGCATGGGGGACAAACTGATGCTGGTCCTCGTGTATGAAATGCATGCCTTTGCTCTGCTGCTTCTAGGAGGGAAGTTGAAGGAGTTGCTGTCGCCTTGAGAATTCAGTTTGTGACTAAAGCAAGTAAGCAATCAGGAGGGCTGGGAATTGCTGGGAAAAGTGCATGTTTCCTGGTGAAAAGTTGAGGGAGCTGCTTCAGCTCTGCCAGTGCTTGCAGCAGGATTTCCAAGTTGGTGTCAGCGACAGAAACTCTGGGGGGAGCTGCAGTGCAGTGTGTTAGCACAGCTTCACCCCCTCCCTTTTAGCCAAAACTGAGCTTTAAAGGGGTGGCGTTGGTGTTGGCCGTTTGAAAGTGGAATTATTTTTGAGTGATACGAAAGGAAATTGGTTTGGTTACCTCTATTTCCATAAGCTGCAAATGTAGTAACTTAAGTGTTTGCATGCATTGTTCACCTGTGCCTTTGCTGGTCAAATTTGAGTGGTTTTTGTCAGTGTTATGAGGTTCTGGGTTCTGTGCTGGATATCCCCTTTCTCTGCAACAGAGAAACAGAAAGGTGGATAGAACTGCAAGACATAGGCGCCAGGTGTGGATTTAAGAAACCAAAACAACCAAATAATTTTCATGGCTTTTGAGTGTTGTTGCTCTTTTTTGAGATGGTGGTTACAGAAGGGGATGGATAAACTGAGACATAAACCCCTGAAATGTATGTGTGTTTAAAACCAAAACTGACAAAAGAGAGCCCTTAGCTGTGCAATGTTTATAAACTACGGGCGCGACCTTTTCTGTTGGCAAAAGACTGCTAAGAAGCAAAGCTGTCCAACCTCAAACGTAGGGATAGAATCATTGAAGAAAAGCCTTATCAAAGGCTGACCTGGAGTTTGGTTTTCCTCACCTGTGGGAGTTATCCCTGGCCCTGGAGGCTGCTGAGCCATGCTCTCGGCTGGTATTTCAGGTGCAGTGGCAAGGACAGCCTGATCAGCAGCTCCTGTTTTGTGTTGGTTTTGGGAGCTCTGATTCTTCCAAGGTGTTCTGTTCGCTCAGCAAGGCTTTTATTTACTCATGAATGAGGGAATAATTTAGGTAGCTCCTCACGCTTGAGCCTGTGTGAGGAACTGGACTGCACTTAGCAGTCCCTGTTCAGGTCAGAAGCGCCTCGTGGTTAGAAACGTGTTATTTATTCTGGTGAAGCTGTGCTCGGTTTCACCAGAGACCTTTTCAGTAAAAACTATTACTTTATTCTGAAGGAAAACCCCCGTTTGAGGAAGGTGTTTGCAGCTGGGGAAGTGGCGAAGCCGGCGAGAGGCTGGCGGGCACTTACAGACCTCTTGCTGTGCCCCAGGCTCCCCCCGCCCCGGCTGAACGACCAGCTCGAACCAGGGCACAGCGATCCGGTCCCCGGTCCCTGTCCCGGCCGCGGGCGCCACCCGGTGGCCCGTCTCGACCTCACAGCCCCTGCCCCGGGCAGGTGCTGACACCAGTGGGAGTGATCCCGTTGACAGTAAGGTGAGGACTCAGTTCCTCGTGTTGATCTGCGGGCAAAGTACAGGCGTATACTTTGTCACCTCCTTCCTGGCTGTCATCTGTCGCTGGAGACTAAGGAAGGTAAAGCACAGGTAAAATTAGGGTTCGGACTGTGAGCGAGCTACTGCCCTCATGGCCTTTCATCCTGAAACAGTATTAGGTGAGACAACATCTTGCAGAAGCAAAGATTCCCAAATATGGGTGGGTACTGCAATGAGTAAGAAATGGTGCTTCAGGTTGGTACCGAGATGGACAAGAAAAGCCCTGACCCTTTGTTCTTAAAAATCTTAAGTCTTTATTTTAGTGTCATCTCAAATATAGTTTTCAGTTCTTTTTTTTTTTTTTTTTTTTTTCAGTTAGAAAGAAGTAAGTGCTTCTGCAGTGTACCAGTTTAATGATAATAAACAGTGGTGTAGCGCTAGATGTCAGTAGTGCTTCACCAGTTTCTGTGTCAGAACTTACAGGCTTTATTTGCTGCTGGCTTTTGGCGTACGATGCCCTCCCCTTGTTCTGTGTTTTCCAGAATAAACACATAGAAGTATGCTGTCCTTCAAAAATACATTTTCTCTTTGCTGTCCTTGGTGAATAACCATTTTAGGTCACCAACTTACAAAAAGGACATGTTTTCTGACATTTCAGTAGGTCAAGCATAGGCTTTTTTGCCCTTAGTGGTCAATCGATAAAAGTTGCATCTGGGTTTGTAACTTGGCAAATATCCTTGCTATGTTGTTCCTCCAGCAGATGTCAGGGGGGAATTCATCCACTCTGACATCTGCTGGAGGAACAGCACAGCAAGGAACAAACAATCCAGGAGGTTCCTGGAAAAGATTGGTGGTAACTTTCTGACACGGGTGATGGAGGAGCCAACGAAGAAAGATGTGCTGCCAGACCTTATACTAACAAACAAGGAAGGACTGGTTGGGGATGTGAGGATAAGTGGCAGCCTAGGTTACAGTGACCATGAGATAGTGGAGTTTAGCATCATCCAAGGAGGAAGCAGGGCAATAAGATGTCAACCCTGGACTTCAGGAAAGCTAACTTTGGCCTCTTCAGTGGCCTTCTTGGAAGAATCCCATGGGAATAGGCCCTAGAAAGAAGAGAGGTCCAAGAGAACTCACCTTTTTCAGGCTCAAGAACACTGCATTCCCATGGGTAGGAAATCAATCAAAGGGGGAGGGAGACCTGCAGTCATGAACAGGGAACTCCTGTCAAAGGTCAGACACAAGCAGAAGATGTACAGCAAGTGGAATTGAGGACAGGCTGCTTGAATGAATATAAGGATGTTGTCAGAGTATGCCAAAATATAATGAGGAAAGCCAAGGCCCATTTGGAATGATATCTGGCCAAGCATTTCAAGGACAAGGACTTCTTCGGATACATCAGTAATAAGAGGAAAACTATGGAAAATGTGGGCCTGCTACTGAATGGAGCAGGGATCCTGGTGATAGAGAACACAGAGAAAGCAGAGATACTGAATGCTTTCTTTGCTTCAATCTTCAGTGCTAAGGCCAGTCCCCAGTAATCCCTGACCCAAGAGACAAGGGAGAAGATCTGGAGAAAGGAAGACTTTTCTTTGGTTGAGGAGGATGAGTTAGAGATCATTTAGACAAACCTGACTTCCACGAGTCCATGGGCCCTGACTGATATATCCACAAGTGCTGAAGGAGCTGATGGGCATCACTGCAAGGCCACTCTCGATCATCTATGAGAGGTCATGGCAATCAGGAGAGGTGTCTGAGAACTGGAAGAAAGCAAATGTCACCTGAGCCTTCAAAAAGGGCAACAATGAGGACCCTGGGAACTTCAGGGCAGACAGCCTCACCTCAGTCCCTCCTGAAAAAGTGATGGAACAACTCATCCTGGTGGCCATCTCTAAACATGTGGAAGTCAAGAAGGCGATCAGGAGTAGTCAGCATAGATTCACCAAAGGGAAATCATGCTTACTTAACCAACCTGATTGCCTTCTACAGTGGTATGACTGGCTGGATAGAAGAGGCATTGAATATTATGTGGATTTTAGCAAGGCTTTCAGCACTGTATTATATGACATCCTTGTAGGGAAGCTCAGGAAGTGTGGGCTGGATGAGTGGATGATGGTGAGATGGAATGAGAACAGGCTGAATGGCAGGTCTCGGAGGGTTGTGGCCAGTGGTGCAGAGTCTAGTTGGAAACCTGTAACTAGTGGTATCCCAAGGGTCAATATTGGGTCTGGTATTGTTTAACAGCAGCCTTGGACACAACTCCAGGGAAAGCTGTCTTGCATGAGGAACTTCTTATTTTTAACAGTATTAGTAAATCAAGAAGAAAATAAGTTCTATGTAAGGGAATGCTGCATTTTAATGAAGTGTTATCACTGTATATTCCGCAGCTGTGCAGTGTAGGTATGCACATCTTGTCTACACTCCTTACGCTATCAGTTTAGAGATAGAAGACAAGAGCTGTAATACTTGCTTTTGTGGCATTTCTGTGCCTTCCTTTTGGGAGCTGTGTTTTTATGATCAGCTACACCTGTCACACCAAGTCAGCTAGCCTGGAGAGTAACTTTCCTTTTAGTGAAATATGTGTGATCAAAGTATGACCTTTTAATACATTCGTTTTCTGAGATTTCTTTTTAAAATGGTGTTTCTGTGTACTAGGCTTGCTTCGGTCTTCTGACTTTGCCGGCTAATTTCTTTGTGCTTATTTTAGGTTGGCGCTATTATATTCCATACAGGGTAAGACTTGTGCAAAACCACTAGGATGTTTGTGGTATTGTGGGAGAGCATAGTGTTCTCCATGGCAGTCTCGGGTTAAAGAGTAATTCATCCAGGGCTGGGTGTTTCTCCTTTGTGAAGCAGCTTAAGGTGTCCTCAGGAAATATTTCTGTAAGAACAGAAATAATTCATGTGAACATGATGTAAGATGTCTGCAAAAACCCCTTAGCAACAGATTAACTTTTTCAGCAACTTTAGTGCATAAAATATTTTATCGGTACTTGGTCACTAGGGTGTGGGACGGTTTTTGTGGACAAAATTCAGACGTTCCGATTGCTCCAAGTGAAAATAAGTAAAACCTAACAGAAATTACTTTTCTTAATTATTTACTTTTAGGCTACTGGTTCATGAGTGTGGCTACATCAAGTAATGGTATACAAATATGTTCATCTGGTATTATTTTGCAGGAGACGGCTTTACACTGAGTTTTGCAAGCGTGGGGCTTCCCTCTGCTTTGCAGGCAACTCTCAGAGAACTAAAGCAAAGATTAAGAATGCAGATGTGTTTCTAGAAAGTAAAGGTGACAGGCAGAGAAACTACAAGAAAACTTCTTTCCTAGGGAAGCTTGGCAAAGGCTGTGTTATGTGGTAGGAAGAATCCAAAGGAAGTTAACAGGGTAGACAGGACA